CCTGATTAACAAAGATTAAGTTGGCATATTTGAGAAACTGAAAAGAAGCCCGTGTGTCTCTGCAAACAGAAAGTGTTGGTACGTGACTTTGGAAATGTAAACTGAGGTCTGACTGTGCAGGGGCTTGCTGACCAAGATAAGTAGTCTGGATTTTATTTGAGTGCATTGGGAAGGCACTGAAGGTTTGTTCTTTTGTTTTTGCTTAAGACTATGTATGTCTAGATCAATACATTAAATGTAAGTAGCGGCTCAGAAACCTCCATTATGGTCTTGTCCAGTGTTTATAGCCCGCCACCCCACCCCCTGCCCACCTCCCATTAAGCAAGTACTATTCTGACACATGTCTCCATTATTGTTAGTTTTAACTTTATTCTGTTTTTGAACTTTATATAAATGAAATCACACTGTGAACTATATAAATGGAATCACTGTGTCTGGCTTCTTTCACTGAAAATGACATTGTTGAGAGTCATCCATGTTGTTGAGTGTAGCAATAATTTACTTTTCTTGCTGTATTTTGAGGGATAGTTAAGTGACTGAGTTAGTTTTTAAAAGGTGACTGGCTGTTGTATGGGAAGATAGATTACACCCAGGCAGGAGAAAAAACATGGAGACTGGGAAGGTAACTATGGAATAGACAAAGTGAGGAGCTTGGACTAGCATGAAGAAGAAAAGATACGGAATGAAATAGACAAATATGAAATGTATACTTTGGAGATAAAACTCAGGGAGTTTAGTGATACATTGGGTAAGAGTAAGAATGAGGGTAAGGGATGTATCATAGTCCCAGGTTTCTGGCTTGGCAACTGATAGATGGAGTTTCACTTTTTTTTTTCCTCCTAGGAAGGACTGGAGGAAGGACACATTCAAGTAGAGTAAAAACTGAGTTTATTATTAGGTCTTTTAAGCTGCTTGTGATATATGAGGGAAGCTTCAGACATCCATTTGGATTGTGGCTATGGAGCATATTGGAAAAAAGTACAAAGTAGGGATAGTTTACAGATTATGGGGCAGCTGCCATGTAAAGAGTACTATATTAAGAAGGTTTGAATATCACCATTTTATTCAACTTCTGTTAGCTGTGTGTGTGATTAAGGGCAAACCACTTGATCTTTTTGAGGGCCATTTCTTTACATCTCTAAAATGGGAATAATACTTGGCTTCATAGAGTTAAATAAAGTGTCATATGTGAGCAAGACCACATTTTATAGTTATTTGGACCAGTGGATGCTTGGAAAAGTTTAGTCACGTGTATACAATTTGAGTTGGTAGGAAATTCAGATTATGGAAAACCTTGAAAGGCATGGAAGAAACTTGGTATAATATGGAGCCTTAGAGTTCTTAGTACGGGAATAGATTTATCTAAGTTTGATTTAAGGATACATCTTCTAAATGCTATTCAGGAAGAAGTTAAAGATGAGAAATATCTAGAAAATCAGTTGTCATAGTTGAGGATTAAGGTGCTGAGGGCCTGGCCTGACATGGATGTAGAGATCAAAGAACAAATCAGAGATTTCAGTGGAAGAAACTACAGGATTTGTTCAATGCCTCATTTTATGGCTTAACAGCGGTGGGGGGGGGGGGAGAATCAGTGACTAAGACCATGTGACTAAGGCTTTGAGCTTGGGAAACCAGAAAAATAGTGGAAGCAATGACAAATCTGGGGTAGCCTAAAAGGAAAACTGAGTTAAGGAAAGGACAGTTCATTCAGTTTTGAATGTATGACTCTTATAGTGTGGTTGTCTTTGGGTAGGTGGATATTCTCTGGCAGTTAGATATTGTGGTAAAGACTGTAGAATTAGAAGTTAAGAGATTAATTCTTTTTTGAGTTTAATCACTAATGAGCTTTGTGGTCTTGGAAATTTTAGCATCTCAAATATTAAATGTAGTTGTCTAAAAAATGAAACTAATACCCGCCCTGTCAGCCTTACAGGATTGCTTTGAGGATCAAATAAGAATGCTTATGAAAATACTCTGTAATTGTAAACTCCCATATAATTATAAGGTGCTAATGTTATTTCTTAGTTCAAATTAAAATGAAATACTTGGTTCAGGGCTAGAGAAGAAAAGGAGAAGATACCAAACTTCTTAAAAGTTTGTGTTTGGAAATAAATCGGAAACATCAGAAACCTTAGTCTCTGAATACATATGCCTGAAAACCTCTGTAGACTATAATTTGGGAGACTAATCTGGAAGCTGATCTTGTATATGACAGTTATGAGAACCAAAAACACAGATTGCATCTTGTCAAATGCCAGTATTTAACTTGACTTCAAGTTGGAAGTTCAAAGAACTTTTGAATTCCACCTGTATGGTTGCCCCATGTATGTTTACAGAATTTTAGAACATACCATTCTTATGTCTGTGAGCTGTACATTTTGGCCAAGGTTCCATTTAGGGTAATGTTTCAGTTTTCTTCAGCTATTTGTAAAGAAGTGATTCCTAACATTTATCAGCATTATCAGTATGGTATGTTGGTTGGCATCAGCAACTCTGAAACCAGACTGTTTAGATTAAATCACAGCTCTGTCAATTAATGACTAGACTTGTACACTTGAGCACATCATTTAACCTCTCTTTGCCTCTATTTCTCCATCTGTAATGGGAACTAACCTGAAGGTTTTGGGGAGGATTGAATGTAGTACTGTATGGAAAGCAATTAGAATGGTGCCTGGCACATAAGAAGTGCTATTTAAGTGTTAGTGGTGGTTATTATAGAACAGTTTGTTGTTATTTTGGCAGTGATCAAAGAATAAAGTACGTGAACAAGAGATTTTGATCCTCTCAGAACTTACAGCTGAGAGAAGTGGAAGGGTGTCATGGTAAACATAATGGGCTGTAGAGTTATATTTACTTAGATTCATATAGTAATTCTGCCCCCTTTGCTTTATGGTTTCAGCAAACCACCTAATCCCTCTGAAGCTCAGTTTCTTTGCCTATGAACCAGGAGTCAATGTCTATCCTGCAGAGTTGTTATGAGGATTAAATGAGATAATGTATAAAGTGCTTGACCCAGAGTAGATGCTAAAAAATGAGAGAGTTGTCTAACACCCCCGGTCCCCTGCCATACTGGTATAGAGCGGTATGGGCAGTTTGATTTCCTCTATGCTCTCTTTTTCTTTGCTTGCAATTATAGAACTTCTAAATTTCTTTCCATTTGTTAACAGAGTAAACAGCACCTGTTTAATTGGATATACCTTGAAAAGTGTATTGTCAGCTATCATTTCCCTCTTCCTTTGCTGTTTTGGGTTATGTGCTTTATTATTATGGCAAATCCTACTAGAATCAAGATGGTAGACATTATTAATTGGTCATAGAATTGGCTGCACTGTAGCCTCAAAATCCTTCAGGATAAGAAGCTAAAATCAGCTCATCAGACTCAATACAGTAGAGAAATCTTCTCTGCCTTAGAGCTTTCTAGAAGAAATGTTTATGGGATTATCAAACTAATATCTGAGCTGTCCATTAATCCTCTCTCAAGATATGGGCTTGTCAAACTTTATGACAAAACAGAGTGGTTGTAGAGCATTTCCTGACAGATGTGCTTATCTGTATTACAACATTGTGACACAATATGAGCATCTTTAGGCACCTTCCAGACAGGGTGCAATAATCTTAAGAGCGACTACAATGCAAAGATTGTAATGCAGTGACCCAACTAAGTGTGCATCGGAATCAGCTGGAATGTGGACTTAAAACAGACATGCTGTAGGCCTCCCCCGAGATTTATTGAATCAGATTCATCAGTAAATAGACCTTGACATGTGCATTTTGTAAAACTACCCCAGATGATTCTATTTATGCCGCTGGTTAAAAACAACTCAAATACTGTCAAGAATGTTAGGGAATCAGCTATCCTCATATACTACTGGTATGAGGGTAAATTGATATATAGCACAGCCTATAGAACTGTTTTGCAGTATCTGTCAAAATTTCAAACTTTCCAATAGGAATACATACCTGCACAAAGATCTAGTTTCAAGAAAGTTCCCTGTTGTATAATATCAAACAATTGTGAGCAACTAAGTGATTGTCAGTACACAGATGGTTAAGTACATTGAGTTAAATACCACAAGGAAACTATGTAAAGAATAAGGTATACATGAAACATATACATGCCAAGGTAGAAAGATATCTAGGATATATTGTTAAGTTGAATAAGCAAGTTACAGAATAAACCCTATTTTTAAAATTTTGTATCTAAATATATAGAGAAAGATTTGGAAGAATACTCATCAAAATATTTACAGTGGTTATCCATGACAGAAGAATGGGAATGATGGAGGAGGGAGGCACAAACCTTTCTACTTTTGTGTTTAAAATATTTGCTGGGAACGTGGGTGGCTCAGTCGGTGAAGCATCTGACTTGAGCTGAGGTCGTGATCTCACGGTCTGTGAGTTTGATCCCTGCGTCAAGTACTGTGCTGACAGCTCAGAGCCTGGAGCCTGCTTCGGATTGTGGGTCTCCCTTTCTGTCCCTCCCCCACTCACGCTTTGTCTCTCTCTGTCTCCCAAAAATGAATAAATGTTAAAAAAATTATTTTAAATGTGTGCAATAAGATTTTGTTATTTTTGTAATGATAAAGAGAACCACTGGGCAAAACATGAATGATTTAAAGGAAGCTTGTATGGAACCTAATTTATATGTGTCAAAACATTGCTTACTTTGGAAATACCAATTTTAACCTGAGACTTACAATTTCTAACTTGGGAAACATAAAGGAATGCAAAACAATTTTGGATGTTTGCTAAGAGGATAAAATTTTGTTACTGAAATTGTGAAAGTAATTGAGAGTTTCAAATAGATAAGCATTTAAAGTAAAAGGCATTTACCTTGTATCAGAATTATATTGGCTACTTGTTTTAAAAATCCTTAGTGCTTGTGTATATCTGGATATGGCAATTGAGTACAGGATATTGTAGTGACTTTTTTTTCAATTGATAAGCCTCTAGCCTGTGGGGATATTAACACCTTTTAATCTCCTCTTTTAAAACTTTAGGCCCGATGCGAGAAAGGGAAAGTTAAGGATGCTGGAGCAGAACAATGGATTTCTCTTTCTCTTTCATGCAAGGGATCATGGGAAACACAATTCAGCAACCACCTCAACTCATTGACTCCGCCAACATCCGTCAGGAGGATGCCTTTGATAACAACAGTGACATTGTTGAAGATGGTGGCCAGACACCATATGAAGCTACCTTGCAGCAAGGCTTTCAGTATCCACCTACAACAGAAGATCTTCCTCCACTCACAAATGGCTATCCACCATCGATCAGCATGTATGAAACTCAAACCAAATACCAGTCATATAATCAGTATCCCAATGGGTCAGCCAATGGCTTTGGTGCAGTTAGAAACTTTAGCCCCACTGACTATTACCATTCAGAAATTCCAAACACAAGACCACATGAAATTCTGGAAAAACCTTCTCCTCCGCAGCCACCACCTCCTCCTTCGGTACCACAAACTGTGATTCCAAAGAAGACTGGCTCACCTGAAATTAAACTAAAAATAACCAAAACTATCCAGAATGGCAGGGAATTGTTTGAGTCTTCCCTTTGTGGAGACCTTTTAAATGAAGTACAGGCAAGTGAGCACACAAAATCAAAGCATGAAAGCAGAAAGGAAAAGAGGAAAAAAAGCAACAAGCATGACTCATCTAGATCTGAAGAGCGCAAGTCACACAAAATCCCCAAATTAGAACCAGAGGAACAAAATGTAAGTTGAAACATTTGAAAAATTTTGTAACCTTTCAGATTTACTGGAAGTCCAAGAAATATTTTTCAGTTTTTATCTCTTCAAATATAAATATTCCTGATAACTTCTTTCTTCTAATCCCTAGCAAGGAACTTGGGATGTTATTATAGGTGCTGAGTAAGAAATTTTTTGAATAAATGAATGGACATCATTAGAGGGAAGAAATATTTTTAAGACATCGGACACTAAGAATCTTGCTGCTTACGTTTCTTTGTCTAATAGCTTCACTTATTTCTATTTGCTTATAATAAACTCCTGGTTTCTAAAGATGAAGAAAGGCAGAGAAGATGGTTAATTATATTGTTTTCTTTATTTTGAACTAACTTTTCCCCGGAGAGCTTAGATTTAAACACTCATTACCATTGTATTTGCTACAAAATAATGTGAATAGAGGAACTCTTTGTATTAAAATCAGAGTTAGTATTCATATATATTAAAACTTTAGGTGGACTGTATGTTAACTAAAATTGAAATAAAAAAATCTTCAGGTGGAATTTTTATAAAAGTCATTCTTCATAGGTAACTTAAGATGCATGCTGCCAATTTTTTAAAATATCTCTGAGGTTTCAGTATGAATTTACTTAATAATAGGTATGTAACAGATCAATCCTAGCTTGAATGAAGAGTTTTTAGTTACTATTCTAATACATGGTATGAATTGAAGACATTTCCCAGACATTGATTTGAGAAGAAATAGATATTTTTATAATACTAGTCTGCTTTTCTGTCTGATCTGGTATGCCTGAATAAGTTAATTTATTATCTTCTGTTTAAAGAAATGTTTACTTCATAACCAACTCACCTTTCCCTCAGTAGCTGGGTTCCAGTACTTCATTCAACTCAAATGTGATCATTTTCTAGAGTAAAAGGCCACACTGATTCTAGACTCTCATGAGTCCTGGTGTAATATTTCAGTTTTTCTCATTTTTCTATAGTTTTATTTATTAATTTAACAATACTGTTTAAGTATCTACTCTTAAAGTAGGGCAAGGAATGAAAGTAAAGATGCCTACTTCCAGGTTGCTTATATTCTAGTAAGAGGAGTCAGAAAATACATGCATACTTATGTACATACATTCAAACATACGTATAGTATAGTTTGTATAGTATAGTATAATAGTATAGTATAGTATAGTTTAGGTAGTATTAAGTGCTGTAAAGAAAATAAAACTGGGTAATGAGATAAAGAGTAATTAGAGACACTTTAGCTATTCTGGCGTCTTAGTTCTGCATTTGTAAAATGAAGGCTTTGTAGCTAAGTGTTTTCTGAAATGCCTACATTTCTGAAATCATTTCTTAAATGCCTCACCCCTTGAACTTAGCTCACATAGTATCTTATACAGACTGTATAAGTACAGCCAAGTGAGCACACATTGAGCACATCAATTACTTCATTAAGTAAATGAGTAAATGGAAGGAGAAAAGTTAACTTTTTGCATTCCAGATGCATTCACTGTAGCATTTTTTCCCTAGACCTACAGTGAAAAGGTATGTGATACACTGTGACCTTGGGAATCACAAAAATGCATAAAACCTGAATTTGGTTAAAACCAGAGCTAAAGCTTCGTTCCTGAGAACTGTTTTGTTGGCCCATCTTGCTTTTGCTCTAGACAATCTGGCAGATAGGAGAATATCCAATTTTACTTACTGGGCTAGACTTTTTACCTATTTTGACAAGGTACATTAAAAATATATTTCAAAATAGAAACAGGTCTGGAAGCATTTAGAGGCAGGATAAGACAATCTGCTTACTTTTTATATCCTTTTTATTTTATTGGAATCTAGGAAAATTGAGTGCAATGATATTTAATAGTCCCTTTATAATGAGATTTTAAGTTGTTGTTTTTTTTTTAATTTATTTTGAGAGAGAGAGAGCAGGGGAGGGGCAGAGAGAGGGAGAGAGAATCCCAAGCAGGCTCCACACCACCAGCATGGAGCCCGACATGGGGCTCAAACTCATGAACCGTGAGATCATGACTTGAGCCAAAACCAAGAGTTGGAAGCTTAACCTACTGAGTCACCCAGGCACTCCTAATAGTGAGATTTTAAAGCCCATTCTGTCTTTGTTGGATATGTGCTATGCCTAGCTCTTTGTATCACTTAAACCTTGAGTTAATTGTTATATCCAAGGATTCAAATGATTAGATACAATTTAAAAGTTTTAGTTCATTTTCTTTTTGGTAAATCATGTGGGGCATAGTTTAATATGTCATTATTTAGGATCTTACAGTATCTTGAGGTAAAAGAATATCAATTTGACTGAAGGTATAGATGTAGTATTGATTGCACTAAATATTACCAAGACCATTGCCTGAAAGTTGAGTTTTTGGTGAAAATCCAGGTTTTCCTTCCCCTCCCCCATCCTTTTTGTTCTTGCCCCCTTTCCCTCTCCCCCAATGTTTCTCTCCCTCTTTCTCTTTGTTACTCTCCCTTCACTCCTCCCTTTTCTTCTAAAGAGAAAAATGAGAAGATCTTGTTAGTTGAATTTTGATTAATTAAAATTTATCACACATAGGGGACAGAGCTAAAGAAGTGGGCACCATTAAAGTTGTACTCCATTCTGATAATAGAACTTTAAAGCTAGAGCCTCCCAAGACTCCTGTGAGTGTCATGCTTCACTAAACTATGCAGATGACCAGTAATGTGCACAAAATGATTGGTTTTGTAACTTTGTTTTCTTTTTTTTATTATTAGGTTTCCTTAACTTGAACAACATTTATTTTGTTTCCCTTAGGATAGTTTTTCGTGTTTTAATATTTGACACCGTTGTGCCTCCTCGTTGTTACTAAGGGTCCAAGCACTTGGTGTTTAGCATCGTAGAGGCCTTAGAAATGAAAGGGAAGCCCAAGTGAGAGTCTGCTGACGCAACTGGACAGCTCCCCTCCCCAGATGCTTTAGGGAAGCATAAGGAGAACTGAGTGCTTGGAGGAAAAGTTTGAAATGTCCTTAAGCTGGATTTGTTTTCATATGTATTTTTGTTCCCTAAAAACCCAGTCATAAGTTCTTTTTTGAGCAGTCTCATTTAAAATAATCCTTAATGATTTCACTCACTACTTTTTTCTTTTTTTCTTGGTATTTGATCTATAAGTATCTCCTCCCAGTTCTGGGCTGTTTGGCCTTCTAAAGAGTGGCTGTTATTTGGAACGACCTAAGTATATTTTCTCAACAATAAAATGTGTCCAAACATCTAGGCAGCAGGAGACCTGAGATCACTACTGAAATTGTATATTCTGTAAAGCTGGTGGAGCTGTTTTCCCTCCTATCAAATTAGAAACATGTGAAAATGTTTCTGCATGTCTTCCTCCCTGGCAGGTGTAATGCCTCAGGCATGTGAGCGTAGGCCCTATTCAAACATTGGTCTTCCACCAGCACCACAGTGGGCTTATCCACTAAGACTAGTCTCATTAACTCTTAGCTTGCCATTTTCATTTATAAAAAGCCAAATAGCTTCCGGTCCCCTCAGCACTAAGTTAGAGCTTATATTTGGTTCTAGCCTCAGAGTATTAGGTCTTAAAATTCTTAGAAACTGTTTAAGTGCAAAATGTTCCTTTTGTACAAATGTTTTAACGTTTAAGGTTATGACCTTAAATAGTTATTTAGAAAGTAATACAGAAAGATGCACGAACAATTTACTGCCTTTGAATTTTTCTTTCCACCTTAAATGTTGACATAAATTTTGGTGTTTTAAAAGAATGTGATTTTGCTTAATGTTTTTAAAATTATTAGGGATTAGGAATTCTAGATTTGATGCATATTATTCATTTTAATAAATCTCTTGGGTTTTAATAAAAGTACTAGACCAAATTCTTTAAAAAGGAGTATTTTGGATAATGTAATTTTATTTTAGCTGTTTTCTTAACATTTTTTTTCCTGTTTAAGAAACTTCTTGTTATTTTTTCCTGGAATATAGGTCTTTCCATATGGAATCAACTAAAAATGTAAAAAAGAGGTATATACCCATAAAATCAAAAATTTAAAACTAAGGAGAGCTAACTCACTGTCATCTTTTTCTCAGAGTCTCTCTTCCTAACGCAACACTGTTAGTACCAAAAGGTATTTCTTGTCCTTACTTGATTTAAATCTCTTTTAAGCTTATCTATCCTTTGAACAACTAATGGAAAATGGATATTATACCCAGAAGTATTTTATCTGTTGGCATTTTCTGACTCATTTTTCTTGACTCCTAAGCATTTGACTTCCAGTGACCATTTTGTCTTAAAAACTTCCCTTAATTGGTGTTTGTGATACTATGCTATCTGTTTATCTTCTTACCCTTTTTTTTGAGCTCAAATCGTAGATCTCTAAATGCCTACTAGATATTTCTATTTTGCCCATGTATTAGCATATCTTGCAATGTATATTTCCTTTTTATCATTTCAGCATCCTTATTTGACTTTCTTATTTTTCTTTCTTTTATATAGTCTTGAAAGCTTAGAATAAATCTTAAGCTTGCTTCTCTCCCTTGCCATTGTTTTCCTTTTAAAATGGCTGTATAAACAATTTTAGTTCTGTGAAAGTGATTTTAACAGTGTTTCAAGCTAGCCTGAAGTTGAAAAGCAAGCATTCTGGAACAAACCAAAACAATCAAAAAAAGATAAGGCATTTGAGGGGTGCCTGCGTGGCTCAGTCAGTTGAGGGTCCGACTTCGGCTCAGGTCATGATCTCGTGGTCCGTGGGTTCGAGCCCCACGTCGGGCTCTGTGCTGACAGCTCAGAGCCTGGAGCCTGCTTCTGATCCTGGGTCTCTCTCCCCCACTCTCACTTTGTCTCACTCTGTCTCTCAAAAAAAAATAAATGTAAAAAAAATTTTTTTTTTAAAAAAGATAAGGCATTTGAATAATAAACAGTTTTGAAGGAAATCCTTGTCTTTAATCCAGAAAGGGAAGAATGTTAATGGGCTTCAGACCAGTTCTTACAATAATAGTAGGATTTTGTTGTGTGGCAAAGATGAGTCACTTCTTATCTGTCTGCCCTCAAAAGGAGTCACAGAGATCCCTTACACCCAGACATCATGAAGAGTGAGTGTGCGGAGGAGGACAACTCACTTTCTTAGCGGCATATGTGCTTCCTCAAGCGGTCTTGTTTTCCTGCAGTAGCTGAAGAATGAGAAGTTAAGGTGAAGGCTTAAGCTGTATCTGTAGATTGAAGTGAAGCTACTGAAAGGGACTATGCAAATGTGGACAGTATTTCCAAACTGCTTTATTATTATACCAGTGATCAGGAAGACAGTTTCCACTTGAACACAGATTTTTCTTTCCTTGCTCAATGAGTGTGTCCTATTGGATTATGTGGTACCACCACAGACACATCTGACAGCGAATTTTGTGCCCATTGACAAGTTGCCACTACCTTTTTTCACCTGGGCTGTTTTCAGTAACCTAATTAAACATTCTGCTTCTCCTCTTGCTTCTATTTTCCGCATAATAGTTAACATGATCTTTAATGCATAAAGTGGTGTGTGTTACTTCTCTACCTAATCCTCTTCAGTAGCTTTTTACTGCACTTAAGATAAAACATTTGAATATACTTGTGAGGCCCTCATAATGTACCCTGTCTCCCCTCTCTCATCATGTAACCTCTCTCTCCTTTGGGCAATTAAGTCAGTTGTAATGGCCTTCCTACCATTACAATTTCCTACCATGAAATTTCTACCTTTTTTTTCTTAATTAAAAAAAATTTTTTTTAATGCTTTTATTTATTTTTGAGAGAGAGAGAGAGAGAGACTGAGTGCAAGCAGGGGGAGGAGCAGAGAGAGAGACACACAGAATCTGAAGCAGGCTCCAGGCTCTGAGCTGTCAGCACAGAGCCGGACGTGGGACTTGAACTCATGAACCACAAGATCATGACCTAAGCCGAAGTCGGACGTTCAACCGACTGAGCCACCCAGGCACCCCTCTTAAATTTTTTTAATGTTTACTTTTGAGAGAGAAAGAGAGAGAGACACACACACACAGAGAAACAGAGCATGAGTGGGGGAAGTACAGAGAACGAGGAAGACACAGAATCTGAAGCAGTCTCCAGGCTCTGAGCTGTCAGCATAGAGCGTGATGTAGGGCTCGAATTCACGAACAATGAGATCCTGACCTAAGCCGAAGTTGGAGGCTTAACTGACTGAGCACCCAGACCCCCTGAAATTTCTACCTTTTTAAATCCCAGGAACTGCACACATGCCATGACTTCATTCTGGAATGTTCTTCCCACTTTTTACTAGACTATTCATCCTTTGATTCTCAGATTACAATTTACTTTTTCAGAAAGGCCTTTCTTGACCTTCATATTTAAAGATGCACCCCCCCTTTATTTCTCTTCATACATTTACATTGTATAAGTGTATGTTTTTATTTGTTTAGTGTCTGTCTGTCCTACCCAACTGTAAGCTCTTTGAGGTGATGGATCAAATCTATTAGTTTCATCATTGCATACCCACCTTCTAGAACAGTGCCTGGAAATTCATAGGCAGTGTTGAGTAAATTACTGATACTTGGAGTTTAGGGTATTAGTCTGGCTTATCATTTCCTTGTAGTTAAAAATCTTTCTACAATTTTTAAAAAAAAAAATTTTTTTTTTCAATGTTTATTTATTTTGGGGACAGAGAGAGACAGAGCATGAATGGGGGAGGGGCAGAGAGAGAGGGAGACACAGAATCGGAAACAGGCTCCAGGCTCTGAGCCATCAGCCCAGAGCCTGACGTGGGGCTCGAACTCACGGACCACGAGATCGTGACCTGGCTGAAGTTGGATGCTTAACCGACTGCGCCACCCAGGCGCCCCTCTACAATTTTTTATTTAATAAAACTTTATTTTTACTGGTATTACAACAGTGTCCTGAATTAATTGAATTGACAATTTTAAGTAGCTTCTAGAATTACTCATATTTTTAAATTGGAACTAAGACCTAATTTGATACATATATCTTTCTTTATGCCATCTAAATTAAATTCTGTTCTTTGACAAGTGAGAAGTTTTTTAAATCTTTTTTTTTTTTTTTTTAACATTTATTTATTTCTGAGACAGAGAGAGAGAGAGAGCATGAACAGGGGAGGGGCAGAGAGAGAGGGAGACACAGAATCCGAAGCAGGCTCCAGGCTCTGAGCTGTCAGCACAGAGCCCGACGTGGGGCTCGAACCCACGGACCGCGAGATCATGACCTGAGCCGAAGTCGGACGCTTAACCGACTGAGCCACCCAGGCGCCTCTTAAATATCTTTTTAATTATAAAAGTAATATGCTTTATACAGAAAGTACCAATAACACAAAAATATAGATCTTCCTGGAGCACCTGGGTGGCTCAGTGGGTTACATGTCTGACTCTTGGTTTCAGCTCGGGTCATGATCTCATCAATCTGAGAGTTCGAGCCTCAGGCTCAGTGCTGACAGTGCAGAGCCTGCTTGGGATTCTCTGTCTCTCCATCTCTATGCTCCTCCTCCATTCACACTGTCTCTGTCTCTCTTAAAATAAATAAATAAATAAACTTAAAATCTATATAGATAGATAGATCTTCCTTCACCATTTCCCTAATCTCATTCCCCAAAGATAACTACTTTTATCAATTTGATATAAAATGTATCAAATACTTTTCAAGGCATATACAGACTATTTTAAAATAAAAAGTTGGAAGATGTTGATAGATATGTAGATTACTGACATGGAATAGTGCTATACTTACTATCCTCTGCTTAGATTTTCTCATTTTGTTTTCTGTAAATAGTTCCCTAAAATATAATTGCTCAATTGAAGAGGGACATATTTTGAAGTTTGATAGATATTTCCAAATTGTCTTCCCTAAGGGTTCCAGAAAAAGAATTTTTAAGTAACCTATTTGTTGATTTTATGATTAGAAAAATAATGTTTATCATAGACAATTTGACAAATACAGAAAAGCACACCAAAAAAAAAATCACTTTTTCCATCACCTGGTGGTATTCTAGTTTTTCTTTCTGTGTACTTAGAAAAAATTATTTTTCCAAGATTGGAATCATACTATACAGATTGGTTTGCAATTTGCTGTTTTCAAAAAATGTTATATTATTTTCTCATGTCCGTATATATATATACATATATATATATATATATATATTTTTTTTTTTTAAAGATCTTATTTTTAAGTAATCTCTACACCCAACATAGGGCTCAAACTCACAACCCTAAGATCAAGAATCACATGCTTCACTAACTGAGCCATCCAGGCACCCCTTCCATGTCATTTTAAAATTCATTTATATTTCTTCGCTATCTAGTTATAATGTATTTAACTAATTTATGTTACTAGACATTTAGATTGTTTTCTAATTTGCTTTTATAAATAGGACTGGTGTGCATATCTGTGTGTGTGTATATATTTATACCTCTCCACGCTTTTTCAACATACATATGTATTTAGAAGTGGAACTTCTGGAACAGAGTCTTAAAATTTAAGGCTTTTCATTCATGCCAGATTGCTCTCCAGGAAAATTCCAAGTTATATCTTACTAGCAATCTCAGAGTACTCATTTTTCTGCACCCTGTTAGGTCTAAAAAAATAAATACATAAATAAAATAAACAAATTAAGTTTTAGAAGTGATGAAATAAGAAATGAGAGATACAGCTATGGCGTGGAATAGACCATGAATGTTAAGACATCGTGCACTGCATACGTTGTATTCTTACTACCTACATTATCCAGTTAATAAATGTCCTTTATTCTCTTTGTGATTTAGTTTTGATCCTTTTTTGTGTATGTCACTATTCTTTGGTTGGCTGCCATTTTATTTTTTTTAATCTATACCTTTTCACCTAGAGACCAAATGAGAGGATTGACACTGTGTCAGAAAAACCAAGAGACGATCCAGTACTAAAAGAGGAACCCCCGGTGAGTTATTATATTGAATACTGTCTAATCAAGTATGGTGTGAGAAGGTGAAAGCAGGGTGATTAAAATATAACACATGTTTACATATATTATTATAGTTCCATACTTCTGGATTTCCAAAATTATACTGAAATAAATCTTGGAGCTGGTTTAAGAGGTAGATACTTTCAGTGAATTATTCTCCTTTTCAAAACTATGACCACTTTTTCTTATCAAAGTATAATCAACATGTAGCATTGTATTAGTTTCAGGTGTACAACATATTGATTTGATATGTGTATACATTGCAAAATTATCACCTCAATATGTGTAATTACCATCTGTCACCATACAAAGTTACAAAAATATTTTTATGACACCTTTTTAATGGATTATGTGAATTCTCAAGGTCTCTTATCGATAAGACATCAAGAATATCAGTCCTATTTTCAATATTTGGAGTGAAGCTTATTGTTTTTCTTCTCTTCCTTTTTGCTAGTTATGGATAGGTATCAGGGAAAATATAATTGAAGATAAATTTTACTAGGTTAACATGTTTAATGTACTTGTACATAATGTCTTTTTTTAACTTTGTCTGCTAATGAAGTTTTATGACCTTTTCCTGTAGGTTCAGCCAATATTATCTTCTGTTCCAACAACAGAAGTGTCAGCCGGTGTTAAGTTCCAGGTTGGCGACCTTGTTTGGTCTAAGGTGGGAACCTATCCTTGGTGGCCTTGCATGGTTTCAAGTGATCCCCAGCTCGAGGTTCATACCAAAATTAACACAAGAGGTAACTAAAGGCATAAATAGATATTAAATAAAAGGTGGGGGGAGGATTGAATCTTAAATATTGTATATAAGAGTGTGCACATAATATACCATCTGACACCAAAATATCAGGGCTTTTTTATGTTTATTTTTGAGAGAGAGAGACAGAGACAGAGACAGAGACAGAGCACAAGTGGGGAAGAAGAGAGTGAGGGAGACACAGAATCTGAAGCAGGCTCCAGGCCCGAGCTATCAGCACAGAGCCCCACACAGGGCTTGAACTCACCGACTGTGAGATCATGACCTGAGCTGAAATCGAATGCTTAACCAACTGAGCCACCCAGGTGCCCCCAAAATATCAGTTTTTAATTACTAGTGATAGAATTCTGGTCATCTTAATGGGCAGAAAGCCTCTACACCTGAGACAGTCCTTGTTTTCCCCTTTTACCACTCTGCATTTTATAATTTCTTCGTGCTGCTTCTTTAAAAAACCTTTATCTGACTGACCTCTCATATGAATTCCAAAAGAAAGCAGATGGGTAAGTAATAAGATGTCTTATATGAGCTTAGTGGGCATTTGGGCCATGCTTTCTCGCTGTACGTTTTATTTCATCATTGACTACTATGGATAGTAATTTTTTACCCACATAGTGTTTTCAATCCTGATGAAATTTTCACAATGCTTTTTTTGCCTCCTTCAATCCATTTTTTAATCTGTAAATTTACTGAGACATCCTTATAAATTCAATACAACATAGATGTACAGCTTGAATCTAGCTATTTAGCATAGAATCCTACCTTAGGAATATTAATGTTAAGAAAAAGATGTTTTCTAACTTTTCTCCATTTCTTTTCATGGGTTTGACCAAAACATGTTGACTAGATTATTGAGATTCTAGAATTTGGAATGGACTTGCTTAGTTAGCCAGAGAAAGGTTTGAGCTTGGAATTTATTTCTGGATATTTGTTTTGTGAACTCACTCTTGTTACATGTTGAGTTCCTTATTGTTTGTGACAACTCTGCACCTATTTTTCTCTTTAAAATTTCTTTCTTGCTTCCTGTTCATTGTTATGAAAAGAAAAAATGTCTACATAAGTCTTGCAAGTCAGATTTGTGACAAGATCAGCCATATCTATAACTTTTGTGCTACATAGCCAGTAATCTGCCCTGGTACAGGAGGCAATTATCTGTCATTATAACCTGCTAATTAAAGGTTGGGTAACTGGAAGCATCAATGGAGCAGACGTAAAAAAACAAAAACAAAAAAAACCCAGCATTGTGGAATGTCTACTTTTGTGGAGGGCACTATGTTAAGCATTTCTCTTATGTATTTTATGCAGTCCACATAGCAGCAACACTATGAAGTAGGTACTATTATTATCCTTATGTTTTGAATAAGTAAATAGAGTTTCAGAGAGACATATCCAGAACCTCCACTCTTAAACATACTGTGTATTGAAAGGAAAGTTAATTGAATTCACCTAGTCATAATTTACTAAGGTTGGAGGAAGGCAGTCAGTCCTAGTTCTTTCATTTATTACTTATTACTCAGAGTGTTGGACTAGTAATCTCTGAAATACCTTGAAGGTTTAATAATCTATGATTTTATGAATGGGAGAGGAAAGGGACAAGGATTTCCCAAAAGGAGCAAGCTGCCTTCTTTTCTTAAAAGTTTTATTTTAATTCCAGTTAACATACAGTGTTATATTAGTTTCAGGTGTACAATATAGTAATTCAGCATTTCCATACATCACCCAAAGCTCATCACAAGTGCACTCCTCAATCTCCATCACCTATTTAACCCATCCGCCCCCCACCTCCCCTCTGATAACAAATCAGTTTGTTCTCTATAATTAAGAGTCTGTTTCTTGATTTGTCTCTCTCTTATTTTTTTCCCTTTGCTTGTTTTGTTTCTTAAATTCCATGTATGAGTGAAATCACATGGTATTTGTCTTTCTCTAACTGACTTATTTTGCTTAGCATATTACCCTCTAGCTCCATCCATGTCATTGCAAATGGCAAGGTTTCATTCTTCTTGATGGCTGAGTATTATTCCATTGTATATATATACCGCTTCTTCTTTATCCATTCATCAATTGATGGATACTTGGGCTGCTTCCATATCTTAGCTATTGTAAATAATGCTACTATAAACATAAGGGTGCATGGATCCCTTTGAATTAGTATTTTTGTATTCTTTGGGTAAATACCCAGTAGTGCAATTGCTGGATCATAAGGTAGTTCTGTTTTTAAGGAATCTCCATGTTTTTGAGGAATCTCCATATTTTTTTCCAGAGTGGCTGCACCAGTTTGCAATCCCACCAACAGTGTAAGAGGGTTCCCCTTTCTCCGCATCCTTGCCAGCACCTGTTGTTTCTTGGGTTGTTAATTTTAGCCATTCTGACAGGTGTAAGATGATAGTTCATTGTAGTTTTTGATTTGCATTTCCTTGATGATAAATGACGATGAGCATCTTTTCTTGTGTCTTTTAGGGCCAAACCTTTTTAAATAACATAATCCATGTACCTATCTGGGCTTCTAGAGCTGAGATATTATTATCATGTGATAATTATCAAGCTCTTTAATTCTCTCCCGTTAGAGCATGCTTCTGAGATTATATAGTTTCACCTGTAGTTACTTTATGAAAACCTGCTAATTTCAGCTTTTTTATGCGATATAAGTGAAAGCACAATTTATGCTGCATCTGTGTTTCAAAGGAAGTGTTTCAGTTTAGTTTTATGAATTAATCTAATTTGGTATCCCCTAGACAATCTTCTACTTTACTGCTGGAAGAACTGATTTTGTTTGCATTATTGAGAAAACTGGAATTCTGAGAACTTAGAAATTTTTAAAAATTTAAATTAATTAAAAGTGTATTCTGATATTTTTAATGTTCTTTTTCTGCAGTAGTTTTTAAAATAACCGCTTTTTGATATATGCATTACATGCCAATTCCGTGCAATTCAGTGATTTTTTAGTACATTTACAGAGTTGTGCAGCCAGCATTACATCTAATTTTATTTATTTATTTTTTATAAAGTATTTTTTTAATGTTTATTTATTTATTTATTTTGAGAGAGAGAGAGTTTGTGCATGCACTTAGAGAGAGAGGGAGAGAATCCACGCTGACAACATGGAGCCCAATGCAGGACTGGAACTAACCAACCATGAGATCATGACCTGAGTTGAAATCAGGAGTCAGACACTTACCAACTGAGCCATCCAGGCACCCCTCTACATCTAATTTTAGAACATTTTCAGGGTGCCTGGGTGGCTCGTCGATTGAGTGTCTGAATCTTGATTTCCACTTAGGTCATGATCCCAGGGTGGTAGAATTGAGCCCCATGCTGTACTCCAGGCTGAGCACGGAAACTGCTTAAGATTCTCTCTCTCTCTCTCTCTCTCTCTCTCTCTCTCTCCCTCTCCCTCTCCCTCTCTCTCTCCCTCTCCCTCCCCCACCCCCACCCCCACCCCCGCCTTCTCCCCCTCTTCCTGTCCCCCTCTTCCCCGCTTTCACATGCGTGCTCTCTCTCTCTCTCTAAAATAATAATAATCTATTATATGTTATCATTATGTTTTTATGAAAAATAACTATTTTCTCAAAAATATTAATGAGGAAGAAGAGTATCATTTTACATTGTTACAAATCTCTTTAATGTCTGACTTAAGTGAAGATACTAGATACTCATATCTGCCTATACATTCAGTCTGTTATGATTTGTTGTTTTGGTTGAAATATATGAAGATGATCTGGCCTCAGGTGCGTAGTCAGAAAGGGATAGTGTATTTTAATAGCCTTTTTAGATAATTGTGGATATATTTCTCTGATATTATACCCATACTCAACAAGTGGTGGGTAAGTTGGAATAGAGAGCCTAAAATTGTATCAATAAACTTTTTGCACTTTGTTACATTAGAATCCGTTGGTTCTGTCTTGCACTTTGAATGAATCTTTTACTTTACATGATTTTGTAATATCATTTATTGGCCACTTAAAAAATATTGGTTTTACCAAGTGAGACATATCTTCCAAATGTTGACACATTCCTCTATAGATGTATTTTTAAATCATATTAGTTTACATGACCAGTTATTTCATCAGAAAATTCTTTGATTATTGGGAATTTGGAAGACTCACAGGGATAAATACTGGTTTTGCAAAATTCTAATTTTTGCTTGAAAGATCAAATTTTATTATTGGCACAAGTAGTGTCAGTTGATTTCCTTGAAAGAGCAAACTTGCTTTTGAGGAAATATCTGCCAGATGCTCAATTTCAAATAATCATAGGTTTTCTGCCAGTCATTCTTTGAAATATGGTGTTTTGTGAAAAAGTGGCCAGTGACCTTGCAATTCAAACAACCGCACAGGTTCTTTTCCTCAAGATAACTGTCACACTTCAGTATGTACTTTATGCATTCTTCCCGTTTTATCACACAGAATATTAAAGACATGTATCCAAGGGTTGAGATTTAGTAAAATTAATCATTTTTTACTGCATCATGAAGGACATTAAATAAAACTGGCTTTTTTTTTTTTTTTTTTTAACTGCCAGTATGTGGTTGTGAAGAATGTGATACTAGTATAGTTTGGTGTCACTCTCTGGTTTTATTTTTGCTAACATGCCAGCAGTCTTATCTGCAATTGTTCCTGTAGTATTAAGTGCAAATGTCAACAAAGTGAAACAATAATAACATCTTGGTATTATTATAAAGATAGTTTTGACCTTACAGGATCCGTGAGTCTGTGGCCTCTTCCCCTCCCCTGTTTGTATAGCGCACTTTTATATGTCCAGAAAAGCAATTTGACCAGCATTCATTCATTCATTTTTGAGAGAGAGAGAGAGAGAGAGAGAGAATGGGAGAGGGGCAGAGAGAGAATCCCAAAAAGGCTCTGTGTTCTCTGCATTGAGCCAGATGCAGGGCTCAAACTCACCAACCATGAGATCATAACCTGAGCCGAAATCAAGAGTCAGACGTTTAACCAACTGCCACCCAGGCGCCCCTGACAGGCACTTTTAAAGTCCAAGAAAATATGTTATACATTTTGGGAAGGAAGAAAATATTTATTTAGACACAGATTTGTTTGTAAAAAGGTTTAAGACAAGGAAAAGTAAGTTGTGTAACCAAGATAAAAAATCTGATAATTAGCAGAATTTCTGATTTCCTTTCTCTTAAAACTTGCTGTACTAATTTTAATCATTTGGGAGTGATTTTTTACAGTAACTATTAGTTGTGTAATTGGCTGGTGTTGGATTATATCTTTGAACAATGCAAAGTGTACAAGTTTTAATAGGAGTAATGCTAGGGAACCTGGCTTAGGTTCACATTTTTGGCAGAGTATATGTGGATGCTTATGGTCTGAAATGCTTAGTAAGAATTTTTTCTTACAGGTGCCCGGGAATATCACGTCCAATTTTTTAGCAACCAGCCAGAGAGGGCCTGGGTTCATGAAAAGCGAGTACGAGAGTATAAGGGTCATAAACAGTATGAAGAATTATTGGCTGAAGCAACCAAACAAGCCAGCAATCACTCTGAGAAACAAAAGGTAACTGACAACGTATTAACATTACCAATCAAATATAGTTGTTAGGGAACTTAATAATTTAGTAGAATTTTTCATACTTAAATTCAGACAGTTAGAATGATTTGTTATTTTAACCTAAGTTCAGTTTTAATAACTTATTTTTATGTTGGTAAGTTTTATATTTCATATAAACAACATCAGAGTACTATTAAGAACTTGAACTCTGCTTAATACATTGTTGGATTCTATTTTGAATTGAATTACTGTACATAAGACTAGAAGATGCTAGTGAAATGTTGATTTTGCCAGGGAATTTTATTCTTTTTCCTATTTTTTTTAATTTATTTATTTTTATTTATTTTTTTTTAATTTTTTTTTCAACGTTTTTTATTTATTTTTGGGA